AAAGGTTAAAGGTCACTCTTGCAACATCTTTCTTTTGTAGTGCCCTCAAAACCCCACATCACTTAGTTTTCATGTCAGAGAGCTTTCTCTATTGTCAGTTGCATAGAGCCAGAATTCATGCGGGGTTCGATTCTTAAGAATGCAGAAAGTTATGCATGAAACTTCCATTACCGCTAATGGAGTTTGCACATGCAACCCCCTACATGAGACTAAACCCTGCTACTCTGATGCCTACTTGTTTATTATTTTTCATGCAAACTTATATCACACATCAAGGCTAGTCCCAATAAGTCACTCCCCCAAATCTTTCACACTGTAGCTGGATACATATAAATTTGCTTATTTCAATCTGTGACTTTTGCTAAACATAGGAACTGCAACCTGGGTTTATTCTTCTGACTACAGTAATCAGGGACAAATGAGAGCTGTTAAGAGGAAGGGGATGTCATTGAAGAATGGGTAGTGAAGGGACAAAGAAGTCAATACAATGGGTGTAACATGGATCATTTCCACAGGTGAGTGTGTACACTCTGCCGAGAATACACACAGTTCACAGGCATAACAATGCAGCAAGAGAGCAATAATGCATTACCCCATGAAACTCCTAGAGAGAGATTCCAGCAACAGGAAGACAAAGAAAGAGCACAGAGTCAATGACAAACAGAAACAGAGGTCTATACAGTATACCCACTGCACAAAGAGATCCGTGCTCCCTCCCCACCACCCACCCTAAACTCAAGGCTTATAAAATAAATAAGGAAGTAAGTAATAGATTTGATATGTGACATATGCACACACACCCTGGCTGGTGTCGGATTGACAAACAGACAGTATTGCTATACTTTCAACTTATTGTCACTTTGGGAGGAAATAATTTTCATTGTTCAGCAAATTATGGTAAATTCATTCACTTTAAACAAGCTGTGCAAAATTCTACACATCTGGGGTAAACTTTTTTTGTTGATGCCCACGGAGTGTATCTCTAGTTTTTTCCCCCCATTCATAAGCATCATTTGATTGAGCAAGTAGAATTCGTGCCTCGGGCTGGCCAAATGTCATGACAAATTTGCAAAGCTGTTTTAAGCCCTTCCACTTCCATTTCTTTAAAGACAACAATATACAGCCCAACCCTCATGTCATTTTTATCATCAACACAGGGAGATGATTGCTAGATAGAAGATATATAATTTTTGTTATTATTCATCGCTTACAAGCATCTCTTTGGGGCCCACCTTGAAAAGAATAAATTGAGTTACAATCTGAAGAACTATGAGCAGAAGAAGGTGGACTGGTGCAGCAGTGACTCATATTATTATCTATATTAACAAGCTGATGCTGTTGCAATATTCCAGCAGACAATGTTTCTGAATGGGCTGGTTTGACTTGGTGTCCGCTTGAAATGCCCATTCGGCAAAATTTAATATAGATCACCACTATCAAACAGTAGATCAAGAAAATGAATTTGGTGAATTAAATGGGTTTGGCTGAGAGGTAGTCATTGAGCTGTCTTGTTGCAGACTGGAATCAGTAAAGGCTGCAGTAAAGAATCTTTACAAGATTATCGTAGGCTCTACCTACATTTGTGCTCTAGCATTTGGAAGCAAAAAAAATCCCTACAGAGGTACAACAAAATCACCCATTTCACTTAGCAAATAAAGTTCTTTTCTAGTGATAAACAAAACTCCACAAGGTTCAGTCAGAAGGCCTTTGGTTTGGATAAGTACTCAGGAGCCTGAATGTTTATCCAAACTTCATCTGAACGGTCCGAATCCCTTATGTTAGCAGAATTGGACTAGGAATCTCTGGAGAACAGGCTCTCACAAGATTGCTGGTACTTCCTGCATCCAATGAGTCCAGAAATCCTGAAAATATTGTCTCTCTCATGGAATTTTATCATTTACAATCCCAGCTGGAATATGGAAGTATAGAAGCTACAGCAAGAACAGCAGCAGCAAAAATAGAAAATTCTTCAAACTCTTCCAAACCGCAAAAAAAGTTGGATTCAGTTCAACTCTGGGCGAAGGTTTGGGATGGTTCTTGTTTTATCCAAACCAGTTTCCCCATCCTTCTTTATTGCCTCCCAAAAAGGTGCATGTTTAAGAGTCCTGCCCCCTTCCCTTTATAATCTTTCCATGAACCTATTCTCGACATTTACTTAAAGAGTAGGTAACACACGTCGTTCAAGACACGCTGTCATGAAGTACAGCCCAAGGATGTACAAATAAAGTGCAGAGGCTGATATTATACTATTAGATATAAATGCCAGAGTGAACTAAAGAAATACTGAATACAATGCACTCTCAAAAGGAGCAGAAACTAGAAACCTTTCATCAGAAACAATTTGTCCAGCAACATAAAAGGCTCTATAAATCTGCTGATGTTCTACGTTACCTTAAGAGAACCATGTTCACCAAGGAGAAGATATTTTAAAGACCAATGATATTATTGGTCTTCAGAACACACAAGAGTTTCTCTGACTGGACAAGCTCCCTAAGATTTCTCTCCTCCCAACCTCTCTTGGAAGTGTGAAATCTTACTGGAGAGGGAGATCAGGAATTTACAACAGACCACAGACATGGACATTATTTCCCAGAAAATGACATTTATGTTTAACAATACTTAACACTTCTAGACCACCTTTCATCTGGGGGCTCTCTATTTTTTTTTACAAGCCTTAATTAACTAAGCCTCACTAAATAAAAGCTTGACAGGTATTATTATACCCATTTTTGCAGATCAGGAGACACAGGCATAGAGAAGTTTAGGGTCAGTTTTTCAAAAGTGGCCTCTAATTTTGGTGCCCAACTTTACACAACCAGAGCCTAATTACCAGAGGTATGGAGTGCCTGATTGACCTCAACTGGAGTTAGGAGTTCTCAGCCCTTATGAACACCAAACCCTCGGTACCTAAAATTGGGTACCCAAAGCAGTGGGCAACCAAAACTAGAAGTCATTTTTGAAAATCTGGGCCTCAAACAACTTGCCCATAAGATCACAAAGCTTATTAGCAGCCAAGTCAGGAACAGCGCACAGACCTCCCACTTTGCAGTCCCCTTCTCTAAACACTAGTCAACATTGTTACCTTCATTTAATGGCGGCAAATGATACAGTTTGATCATATGCTGTAATCTAACCATTTCTGGGAAAGTCCTTGTCACCATTATGTTGTTGAAAATAAATCTAGAGGATTAAAGGATCTAATTCTGTGATTTAATACAAGTTTCCAATAGCCTATGTCCAAGCTCTCTCCCTGGGGGAAGAGGGAAAAGATGACTGTCACATCTTATTGTTTTCACAGTCTCAGTGACTGAGGTCAAATCAACTTAGATTTGGGTTTTGTTTTTTAGAGCATTTGCCATTGAACTAAAACAAAAGATCTAGAATGTAGACTTCATGGACACAACACAGAAGGAATTCTGAAACTACAGAAGAAGAAAAAAATCTGGGCCAGATTCACCGGAATGCTCTGGCAACTTTATGTAGCCCCAGTGATGCAAAGCAACCATAAACCTCTCTTAACTTTAAGGTGAGTTTATGGTGGTTTTGCATTGTCAGAGTTATGCAAATCAACCAAAGAACACGAGTAAATCTGGCCTTCTGTTTAGAAATGGTTCTATTTCTGTAACATATAGGGTAGGCTTGCACACTTCCACTAGCTCAACTGTGAAGAGCAAATTCATTCTTTTGATTGGCAAGTAAAATACTGTTAGAGCTTGTCTATATGCACACCCAGTTTGCAGCCATCTGGGGTGTAAATCTACCCTGCACTAGCCTGCCATGCATTAAGTATCCATATGGACCCCGCTGCTGCCATGAACTAGAACCTCCCTAGTGCACTTTAATCTACTCCTATTTTAAACTTGCCTCCAGGTCAATACCTGGAACTTCAGAGGCATATTGAAACCCCTCATAATGCAACTGGTAAACTACACACTACTACAGGGCGGGAAATGTTCTCCCAGACTCCCTCTGTGATCAGCTTGTGTTCTCAAGTGTCTGTATTTCTCCTCCTGTTCTTTACTAGTAAGGGCATATGAATGAAAAGAGGATCTTGGTTTCGTAACAATTCATCTGTGTCTGTTGCTCATTCCTCACTTGATATCAAAATGTTCTGTGAAATCACAGTAGTTGGTTTGGGAAATTATACTGATGTCAAGTATCAGAGGGGTAGCCGTGTTTGTTGCTTTTTACAGATCCAGACTAAGAGTATTGTGGCACCTTATAGACTAACAGACGTATCGGAGCATAAGCTTTCGTGGGTGAATACCCACTTCGTCAGACGTTAGTCTATAAGGTGCCACAGGACTCTTTGTTGCTTTCTACTGATGTCAGAAACAGAGGATAGTGACTTGAGGTACTGAATAAGCAGCAGGAGAAGAGGACCTCTGTAGAAACTTGGAAATTGTTGTCATGTAAATATCTTTAATGAAAAAGAATGAGGGGAGAGAAATACAGAAAACACACAAAGCAGAAGCTGCAGTGATTCTAAAAAAATATGTTTTTCCAGATTTTGGGGGAGAGATATACATTATTTGGTGAAAAAATGCACTTTCTTAAATGGCTCGATCTCCTGTGATCATTTTTTTCTCAATCAGAGCAGCTTAAAAATATTCAGAGCTGCCAGAAACTTTTGCAATGAGCCAAGAGAGGCTTGCCAATAGGTCACAAACGTGGGTCCAGATTCGAATGAGTGGCAGCTGGGACCAAAACACACCTGGGTGAAGTTTCGATGAAATCTAGAACAGCTTGTTAATTGAGGTTGACATTATGGAAAGTTCTTTTCCCCCTAAGTTTTGGGTGAAAGAAAATGAAAATTTCACTTGAAGTTTTAAGTTTGTTCTGACCCGAACTTTAAAAGAAAAAACTGGGGCTGTGAAACCCATGAACCTGTTGTGAAAAGGAACCACAGCTACTGAGCTTTAAATGGCTCTAGTTCAGTGTCACCTCTACCCTCCTCTCTCCTTTCCTGGAAATTCAGATTCTAAAGAAAAGCTACTTACGAGAAGGCAAATGCCACCAGGGCCCCACTGACCACAATAAAATCCAAGATGTTCCACAGGTCACGGAAATAGGAGCCAGGATGAAGCAGCAGCCCCAGGTCAATCATCTTCAGAGGAAACAAATTAACATGCCACATGTAAAAACACAGGAACCAGCTCCAAATACAGATGTGTAGCAGGGATATTTATTATCTGCAATGAGGTGAACCCCTATATCCTTGATCAAATGATTTCGGTCCCTTCACAAAACCTCCTTCTAAAACATAACAGCCATACTGGGTCAGACCAGAGGTCCATCTAAGCCCAGTTTCCTGTCTTCCGACAGTGGCCAATGCCAGGTGCCCCAGAGGGAATGAACAGAACAGGTAACCATCAAGTGATATTGTCACCCATTCCCAGCTTATGGCAAACAGAGGCTAGGGATACCATCCCTGTCCATCCCGGCTAATAGCCATTGATGGACCTATCCTCCATCAATTTATCTAGTTCTTTTTTTGAATCCTGTTATAGTCTTGGCCTTCACAACATCCTCTGGCAAGGAGTTGCATTGTGTGAAAAAATACTTCCTTTTGTTTATTTTAAACCTGTTGCCTATTAATTTCATTTCGTGACCCCTAGTTTTTGTGTTATGAGAAGGAATAAATAACACTTCCTTATTTAATTTCTCCACACCAGTCATGATTTTATAGACCTCTATCATATCCCCCCTTAGTCGTCTCTTTTCCAAGCTGAAAAGTCCCAGTCTCATTAATCTCTCCTCATATGGCAGCCATTCCATGCCCTTAATCATTTTTGTTGCCCTTTTCTGAACCTTTTCCAATTCTAATATATCTTTTTTGAGAAAGGGCAACCACATCTTCATGCAGTATTCAAGATGTGGGCGTACCATGGATTTATATAGAGGCAATATGATATTTTCTGTCTTATTATCTATCCCTTTCTTAACGATTCCCAACATTCTGTTTGCTTTTTTGACTGCCGCTGCACATTGAGTGGACGTTTTCAGAGAACTATCCACAATGACTCCAAGGTCTCTTTCTTGAGTGGTAACAGCTAATTTAGACCCCATCATTTTATACGCATAGTTGGGATTATGTTTTCCAATGTGCATTACTTTGCATTTATCAACACTGACTTTCATCTTCCATTTTGTTGCCCAGTCACCCAGTTTTGTGAGATCCTTTTGTAGCTTTTCACAGTCTGCCTGGGACATAACTACCTTGAGTAGTTTTATATCAAAAGTTACACAGTAGTGATGTTTTTGTTTTTGACAGGTTTTCAGTAGGGGAGAGGGAGGTTTGCTTTTGTAATTTAGCGAGAGAAGTTAGTATTTCAGAAGCAGATAATGTTGACTAGAGTCAGGAGTAGTGCAAGCGTAATGCTGACAGACCCCGGTTGCTGGGATCGAACCGGAGACCTCTGGAGCTTAGTGCATGAACCTCTACTGCATGAGCTAAAAGCCAACTGACTGTTAGCTAAGGCTGTAGAGCAGACTCAATCTCTCTCTTTAAGTGGTCTCGGTGCCACTAGATGGGACAGAACACCACACCCAGGAGGTGTGTGGGTTACATACTTCCCCTAGCTGAGGAAGCGTGTCCCAAGCTTCAGAATCTTCCAAGTTGAAATCCTGGACGAGCCCTCACTTGTAACGCAGACAGACCCCGGTCGCCGGTGGGCAGGATCAAACTGTGGACCTCTGGAGCTTAGTGCATGAGCCAAAGGCCAAATGGCCCTTAGCTAAACCTGTAGAGCAGGCTCATTAATCTCTCTCTAAGTGGTCTCGATGCCACTAGATGGGACAGTACACGAAACCCAGGAGGTGTGTGGGTTACACAAGCAGATGCTCTGTAAGCTTCCTTACACATATTTTTGCCGGTGCACTCCATGATTGTCAATCCCCTTAATTTTCCACTTCCTGACCTTTTCCTATGCCACACTGTGTGGTAGTTTGTTACAATGAACACATATTAGAGATTATGCCGAGAATAGGGCAATTTGGATCCATTCTTGTAATTTAGTCTTCTCTTAAATATACATTCACCTGTACTGTTTACTTTCTCATTGTTTAATACATATATACTGTAGTGTACTGGTCTTATGCACTTTGCCAACTACACAACATTAAATGAAATAACATCCACAGAGGCATCTCTGCTGGAAGTTACTTGGGGGCCAAACTACCTGACTGTAATAGGTAGAGAGAGCTGCCCAAGGAAGAACAAACTGTAATAAATTCCTTGTGTTTGGAACCCCATCAGTGGCAATATCCCCCCAAATGTGATCCCCTCCCTTTCTGTTCTTATGTGTGAGATGAAATAGTGAATGTTGACCTTTGAATAACCGTCACTGAGCCTCAGCGTTTACACCTGATTGAGATGAATGGGGCTGTTCGCACTTCTGAGAACTAGGGTTTCCAGTAGCTGCAGATTCACGCTGACATTTCTGTATCACACTCCATTCACATTTTTGAGATTTTCTTCACAACCATAACAGCAAGAAACTTTTTTTTTTTTTTTTTTTTTTTTAAGACAAAAGCTGAGATTTTGGAGAACAAGACAGTAGCTACAGAAAGATGCTGGTATGATGTACGGGTGTGTGCCAGCTGTTTCCAAGCCCTGTTCATAATGGGTAGAACTTCTTACCATCAATGTTTTCCTACACGCATGAGAAATATCTCATTTTCTACAAGCCCTGTTCATATCTCTTGCTCTGGACACCTGAAAATATACCACAGTGAATCTGAAAAGTTGAATAAATACCCATGGTGGTATTCTTACCTTTATCACCATCTCGAAGGTAAAGACACCCGTAAATATATAATCCAGATACTTCAGCGCCTAAGTCAGAAAGAGAAATCTGTATTTAAAGGAGACTAAGAACAGAATCACTGAAATGATCTGCCCAAAAAGAGTGTATGGAAGGCCAGTTCCAGCAGTGGCATATTTACCAAGGTGTCATTGCATAACACCCATTTCATGGGATGCTTTCAGGTAGTTTACACCACAAATTTGAGTTCCCTCCATGGAACTGAAACAGTATTTTTTTTTTACAAAAGAAATCATTGTCCAAACGCTCGTGCGCACGTGTGAGAGATCATCTGTGTGCACATGTACATAGCAGGTTTAAAATAGCAAAGTGAATACACTTTAAATCACAATATTTGAAAATCTTTTCCGAATTTGCTTCCCTGCCAACACCTTTGTACAAATGTGCTTCCCGCTGCAATAGTTGATGATAGCATTGCTAATGCTTCTGGAGTGTAAGGAAGAGATATACATCCCCTGGTCTAGAGCAGCGGTTCTCAAACTTTTGTACTGGTGACCCCTTTCAAATAGCAAGCCTCTGAGTGCGACCCTCCCTTCTAAATTAAAAACACGTTTTTATATATTTAACACCATTATAAATGCTGGATGTAAAGTGAGGTATGGGGTGGAGGCTGATAGCTTGCGACCTCCTGAGGGGTCCCGACCCCCAGTTTGAGAACCCCTGGTCTAGAGCATAAACCAACCTCTAACTAGCAAGTATTAGGAAGAAACTTTCCTCATAGCTAGTTTATTTCATAGCTGCCTATTTCAGGGTTTCCTGAACCCTTCCCTGAAACCTCTGGAACTGGCCAGATTGGAAACAGGTTATGAGATGAGGTAGTCCCTTATCTGATCCAATATGGCAATTCCTATGTTCTGAGGACTGCAACTCCTGATTTGTTTTAGGGGTTAGGAAAAGGCAGAATCCTGAACTCAGGCCTCAGTAAGTAAAACACCTGTCAGTTCACACCTATCAATTAGATAATCTTCTTGGTAAACTGCTTTGGATTTTAAGTGTGAAATTTGCAGTCTTAGGCTAGGTCTACACTACAGCGGGGGGTCGACCTAAGATACGCAACTTCAGCTACGTGAATAGCGTAGCTGAAGTGGCGTATTTTAGGTCGACTTACCTGGCTGTGAGGATGGCGGCAAGTCAACCGCTGCCGCGCCGCCGTCGACTCCGCTACCGCCTCTTGCCGCGGTGGATTTCCGGAGTCGACGGCAGAGCCATCAGGGATTGATTTTATCGCGTCTTCACTAGACGCGATAAGTCGATCCCCGATAGACCGATTGCTACCCGCCGATCCGGCGGGTAGTGAAGACGTGCCCCCAGTCTCTGGTTTTGTTTTACACTTGCAATTGACTGCATCTATTTCGTGTACACAGTTTGTGCAACAAATCAGGCGGCTGGATCCTGCTGTATTTGTTGCTAATTTAGGGCCAGATACCTCTGATACCCTTGATAACAGGGCTACTCACGGAGTAAGGTGTTACTGAAGAGCAAGAGTATTTGAATCCGGGCCTGTAGGTTAATATAGCTTTCATTCTCAAAAGTCACATGAGACGAGTGGGGAGGTTTGGTAATCATCTTAATTCTAGTGACTAGCTGACGCAGCATCTGAGTATCCTGATCCAAATACGGATGATATGGAGTAGATACGTTCCAAGAAACCCAATGGGTACCTAGGTGCTAACACAACAGGTGCCCAGCCATCCAATCTGTGACTGCAGCTGTGGGGTTTGTGTGTAGATATAAGGTGCATGCCCATTTGTGTGTGCATTATCACTTGGGTGTGTAAGCTCAGAGTCTGGTTTGAAACCTGTTGAAAACTGGGCCCTAAATGTATTTTTCTGTACTTGTTTAAAAACAAAATATCCATCCTGTGCTGGTCCTAGTGGTTACTGTTGTGCCAAACCATTCAGGAGAAGCCACTCTGACGTCTGGCTTCAGTCTCTTGCTTTCTGTACTACAGACGATGAAAATACCCTGGAAGTGTACTCCACCCTCAGGAGCGTGGCAATGCCTTCCATTGCTCGGCAGCGATCCCTCTGGCTGGTGAAGGCACAGCCTTTCCAGGTTTCCAAGGCAGTCCCATCCAGCCGGCATCAATCGACAGCTAAGACACAGGTTCTCAAAGGTGGATGGGGTTCAAACAGAGGAAAGGGCCAGAGAACCTCAGTGCTTGTAGTAGGGAAATTGACAGACCAGATTGTTGGTATAAATGACTAGCCACTACTTTGGAAGGCCATGCAAGTAAAAAGTTCAATGTTGGCTCTGCAACGCTTCTCAGAAGGAGACATGAAATCTGGGAGCTGTCATTATGTTAGTGTGAGTCTCACCCTAATTGATACCTATCCGGCCTCAGTGCTAGCCAGATTTGGTGACTGTTTTCTTCTCTCTGTATTGCACTTGGCTGTCAGGGGTGCAGATCTTACTTCCAGAGGGTCCCAGGTTTGCACTCCCAACCCCAGTGTCACCCACTAGATAGCACATGTTGATATCACTGGATGGAACCCCCACACTCTGCAATCTGTGTTGTTCTGCTGTCCACACCTCCTACCAGAGAAGCAAAACAATCATCTTCTGGTTGCCTTGGTCACTACTCACATCATTCCTTGGAGACTCAGCTTGGACAGGGTCTTCGGCAGCCAGGGCAATGCTGCTCAGTGCTATGACGATGAGGATGACCATCTCAAAGTAGCGCATGTTCACAATGTAATGAAACAGGCGTCGGATTCTGAAAGAACAAAGAAATAAAAGAAAGCAGATGGAAGCACTGGCATTGCTACTGTCCCTCAGTGTCTGCACCACAGTGTTGGTGGCTTGGGGGGCGGGTGGGGAGCATGTTGCTTATCAAGAATATCAGCTTTGGGAATTTTATTATGGTTATAGCAGGAACTGGGAGTCATGACAACTGGGCTTTATTCTTTGATCTGCCACCAACTTGCTGCGGGACATTGGGCAAGTCACTTCTCTTCACCTCACTAATCCATCTGTGAGATGGTGATAGTGGTATTAGATATCCCAGGACCATCAAGAACTTTAACTTATCTGGGCACAATTTTGCAGACCTTACTAAGGGCTAATCTTGATGGGACGCTAGTGTGCCGCTACCCGGGGCATGAAACTGCAGCACGCTACCTTGACGTGCAGCAACTACAGTGCACTAAAAGTTCTGTAGCACGCTTTGCCGTCCTCCTACTTCCAACAGCAGTACGAGAGAGTGCACTATGGGACTTTCAATGAGCCGTAGCAGTGTCCATATGGGACACCCCAGCTTGCCATGCACTAACATCCCCTGTATGCATAAGGCTTGACTTGATCCTGTTCAGTTTAGTGGCAAAACTCCCAAAGACTTGAATGATGCAGGGTCAGTACCATAGTACTGTAGGATCAGTACCATAGTACTGTAGCACTTACTCATGCAAGAAATTCCTTTGAATGAAGAATCAGACCTTCAATGTTTGCTATGTGCTTTGAGATCCTCAGATAAACAGTGTTTTATAACTGCAATGTAATGTTTTTATTCTCTCTCTCTCCAGGCATCTCTACCACGCTCTTTAATACAATATTTGAGAGCTGGACAACTAGTTCATAGCCAGTAATTTATTTGATAAATTTAACCTCTTTTTATTGTGACTCATCTACAAGAAAATTGTGAAACTCTGGTATTTCTATATCATTCAAAACTATTCACAAATTCTTTCAGCAAATAACTCTTGATTGGCACTCAGTTGCAAATGTTTAATTGCAAATATGCAAAATAATAAATGTGCATGGTGTTGGTTAGTTAATAATAAACTTGGTATTGTTTCTATTCCCAGATTGGATGATGTATGTAACTAACCAACAGCCCTAAATTATGATAGGAGCATATATTTAGCAAATATTTGAGCAGTGGATTTTAAAATTCCCTTTTTGCAAGTATTTACTTTAGTAATTCCTGTTGCTAGATTAGTAATGGAGAGTGAATGTAAAAGGGGCACAAAACAACTGAAGCGAACTTGTTATGAAAAAATACTGAAATAACAGTCATAGAAATGTTTCACAGAGTTCCCCAAGCTCTAGTTATGCATCTTACAATAAGCAGAACTATCCTGATGTTCAAGGACTCTAAAGAAGTGAAATTACCCACAACATTTGTAACTTTAACTTACATGTTGAATTTGGATTAATCAAAGAAATAACAAGTAATTATTTTCGGTTATTTGTCATTCATAACAAGTACTGAGATGCAGAAATATTTGTAAACTATGACTGGCATGTTATAAATAATTTTCTATGTGCTTTTTTTAAACATTGGTACTTTAAAAACCATCTATTTAAATTATATTTTTCAAAAATGCTTTGTGCTCTTGGCAATTCAACAGAGCTTGGGAAGATAATCATCTAGAAATAGATACTGTGAAAAAATATCCCACCCTTCAAAAATAGAAAGGAACTGCTTTATGAAATAGAGTCAGAGGTGTGAACCTACACCCAACCTTCACCTGTGTAGACCCAGAAAAAAACTTGTGTTTTCTTCCTCTTCCTTCTCGAGACCTTTGGGTGCTTCTGACCATTTTAGTGTGACATTTCATTTCAATCTGTTTGTAGCCCTTCTTACATTGAAAGTAACTTTCTGAATGTAAAGGGGCTCAGTAACCCGATGAAATCATCCAATTGACACACACCCAGAGCTAGATTCTGGCCTTTTCAGCTGGGATGTGCGGTACGGGGTACTAAGGAACAACACGGCAGCGGGAGAGCTCGGGAGGAATTCTGGCTGAGTCTCCAGGGGAGCATATGTTCCACAGAGAGCTGCATTACTCTTGCACATCACTCTGTGTCTGGCCGATCTTGTCCTTGCTCCTCCCTGTAGCCCCAGCCACAACATTTGCAGGGATCAGTGTATGTGCTCCACAATGGGACTGTATTTAGCCTCTTCATGGGAAGCATCTTGTGGCCTCCTCATCTCACTTACCTTCACAGTGCTGGGCCCCGTATGGCCCTGTATGTTAATGCCTACTTTGTCCATATATGGTCCCATGCAGGGCCGGCTCCAGGCACCAGCCTGGCAAGCAGGTGCTTGGGGCGGCCGCTCCGGAGAGGGGCGGCACGTCCAGCTGTTCAGCGGCAATTCGGCGGACGGTCCCTCACGCCTGCTCGGAGCGAAGGACCTCCCGCCGGATTGCAGCCGCAGATCGCGATCGCGGCTTTTTTTTTTTTTGGCTGCTTGGGGCGGCCAAAACCCTGGAGCCGGCCCTGGTCCCATGAACTATGTATTACACCGTTGGTTGGTTTTTTTCTTGGGGGGGTGGGGTCAGGAGAGGGGGGATTAATAGAGCACAGAGGATACTGGAATATGGGGCTCAAAGCTTTCTGCAAGATGGGGTAACAGAAGAAAAAGGGGGCGTCTTTTGGGAGTTACCTGAAAAAAGGTTGAGAACACCTGTCCTGCTCTAACTGGTCTGTACCAGGCTACAGGCAGCCCATTCTCAGCCCAGGACTTTGTATTCTTTTTGCTATTGCAGCTTAGTAACTTTATCAGGTGTTTCACAACCTAAGACTCAGTCCAGGCAGTCAACCCACAGCTGAGGCAAAGCAGAACAGGCAGCCAAATATCCGAGGCAGAGTAATGTTTCAAATCAAGCCAGCCAGGATCCAAGCCCCGTCATTCCAACATTTCTTTGTTCCCAGAAAGTTCATCATTCTTTTGTACCATGCTGTGTGCACATCTGATCAAACTCTTCCCTCACACTGACTGTGTATTATCCCATTCATCAACGGATGTTTTGTTGTATTTGAAGCTACTGGTTAGAACTAGTACAATGTGTTCACAGCATTCTGAGAAACTGAAATCTCCACAGACTTTTCCATCAGCCACCCCAACCCTTCACGAAGCCTTCATGACAGCGGAAGGAACAAACCACAGAAAATGTAGAAGGGGAAATCAGATATTTCTTTCAAAGTAGAGAAGCCCATGCTGACAATGGGAAGTGGACTGAGCCCTCAATTCGTTTCCTATAGGCTACTGAACAGCGGTCAGATTGCTAACGGTCTGGGCTCCTTTGTAGCTACAGTTTGTATTGAAAGATACCCTCCATATCTATTTCCAATGTATTCCAACTACACACACACTCACAGTCACGTCATCTTGGTGAATGTGATTATAGCCCAGAGCTGTGAACAGCAGATCTAATCAGGGTTTAATCCAGAGAGAAATGATCACAAATAGTGCAAGCAATCCTCGGAGGTGGCAAAGATTCCAAACCTCTGCTCCAGACCCAAGTTACTGCTTGAAATGACTCACAGCCCGTTATGCTAGAACTCCTACGGCTCATGATGATGTACCTGTCTAGTCCTGCGGCACTTGGGAATGACACGGTTCTCTACGTGCAGAGTCAAAGTGAAAAGCTACCCATGAGACACAGATGCTGCAAGCAACAGAAGTGCTATAACCCCAACAGACCCTATATGTTATACTCAGCCTCAGCTCATGAAGAAATACTTGCAATGTCCCAGAAATTCAGCTTCTATGGTGATGTGGGGCTACAGGGCTGGCAAGAGGACCACATCCTCCAAGGGAAGGTGTTTGTGGAGCCAGGCTGCATTCGCTGGTCTCAAAAACACTTTCCCTCAGCCCTTTGCTCCTCATAACGCCTCTTCGTCTACTGACATTCCATCCTCCAAAACAGATCTCTGACAAAGGTATGTGCTCTTGGTCAGACTGGAAATTCAGAGGAGCAATCCACAATAGCGAGCTCACAGTCTCCACCGATGGATCACTGAACAAATATTCATTAACTTGACCATCAGAAGCTCAGACTTCTTCCGGGATTTGCCCCCCTCTTTTCCATTGGTAATTTATTACCTCAGGAAAGCTCAACTCAAATTGTGCATCTGGTTCGTAGGCCAGTCAAGCTACGTACTTATTTTCCACTGGATTTGACTAAACATAGATCAAGTAAATGTACATTATTTTTTCTCCACATATTCACACACACATGCACAAGACAGAAAATGCACCATGCTGGTAGAAGACTTACGGGTTTGTAGGGCTTAAGATAAACATGGAGCTATAAGGCAGGATTGGCTTAGGCCCATTTTTTGTCAAGTCATCAATCTCCATATCTTTCTTCTCTTCCGTTTTACTTTCAAATTCAACGTTGTTCACTACAAAGTGAATTGAAGGAAACAGGCATCAAACAGGTCAAAAACGTAAACACATCCCATTCATAAATGTTCTTCAACTGCTGGATATATAGACAAGGCAGCTTGTATACAGAAAAGCAGCTTTCAAACATGCTGATTAAGTATAACGAACCTACTAACTGTCTGTTGTTAGCATGGCTATTTATTACAGTATAATATACAGTACAAATAAATTATTCCTTAACTGCTTCACTGATGAGCAATATTTCAGAAATGACTGGGAAAGGCCCCAATGCGGGCCAATCTTAAGGTTGTTTTTTTTTTAAAGGGTCTGTCAAGACGGGCATTGAAATTTGATCCCAAACAACCAGATAGCTCTGGAATCCCGTAGGTAAGGATAGAGAATCAGCTAATGAGCCTAACTGCCAGCATGCTTCTGAAGCTTTTGATGCATGGGATCTGAACCAGCAGCGGGGATGGATCTGGAAGGCTCAGATAAGCAAGCTGTAGCTTTGCTTTGATAATTCTGGGATTGAGAAAAGCCTGAACTTCTCTGTGTTAGCAGTTACTGAAGTCAGATGCCCAAACCATGAACCAGAGACCCTGTTTATGCTGCATGTTCCTTTCTTAGCCAAATAGCTGCTGCATACACTGGCCAATCAGTTCATAAGTCCAAAAAGACATTCTCTTGTGGTGCTTTAGCTGAGATTTTTGTGGTTTACCCACCGAACCTATACTTTTTATTCCCCCCTCCAACAAACCAATATTTCAGCATGAACAAATGACAGATCTCCTAAATCCTTTTCCAAAACATGCGGAGTAAATTCCTTACTAATTCTCAGATCAGATATATGTCAACATCACAAGGGAAGAAAGAACTAGGGGAGACTGTGACTGAAAGAGATGTCAGTATCAGAATGTAGCAGAATTACTAAACATCTCATATGGTCAAGAGAGTAAAGAGGAAGAGTACAAACAGGGGCCCAAGAGGCACAGTCCAGACTGCTTTAAGCCTAATTACATTTCCTGTATTCCAGGCCCAGCTACCAGCACAATTTACTGCAGCTCCAGGGGCTACTCTAAGTTAGGACGACTTGCTCAGAAGAGCTCTCCAGTCATGCTCCCAAAACATCCCCTTCTTCCCCTGCTCCCTCCCGCCAAGCCAGGGAATGGGGAGGGCTGCTCATAAAGTTCTGTGCCACTGGTATTTTCTAGGAGATCGTTCCACACCCCTTTACACAGATGCAGCAGGGAAGAGACTTGGGGCCTGATGATACAAATCAGACAATACAAAGAAAAAGCTGTATTTAGAGTAAAAATGGAAGCAGCCTTCTCATCTTCTTCAGAAAGGGGCCTTTTACTGGTCGTATCCAGGATATAAGCTCAAAAAGGACAAATAACGACCCACCAATTTCTCATTCATCTGAGTCATAATGAAAGAGCTTAGACATGGCATGCCAGCCCTCGTTAATTAGAGCACACTTCGAGTGACAAGCTTTAATCAAACTCTGCTCGCTGTCCCTTCCCTAGCACTCACTTTGGATAAAGGAAAAGCTTTTGGCGTGCCCGGCTGACCATCGCTCTGGGGTGACAGGCTGTTTGGTTTCAATAGTCTTGATAGTGATGTATTGGCTGATGTGCTACATGGGGCTTGTCCTAGTCACTTTGAGGGGAGAGCCAGTCTACTGGTATTAATAACACACTGTAGTGCTCAGATGTTCTCAAAGTGCTTCACAAACATTTCCTGAATTAAAGGCTCACAACCATCTCCCTCTCTTTCATTTGGGGACACTGAGGCAGTAGGGTTTAAAGGGCTTGATTTCCACAAGTGCTGAGCACCCACTGACTTCAGCTAGAGTTGTGGGGGCTCATCTCTTCTGAAGAACCAGGCCCCAAGGGATTTGCCCAAGAGCAACACACCAAGTCAGTGTCAGGGCTTGTCTACACAGCGTGGCAATGCGCACCAGAGGGGTGGGATTTCAAAAGAGCGCCGCACCCAACGTGCAGAGCTGTTTTTGAAAATCTGGCCCATGGTCCACAACTTCCATTGAGACCGACAGGTTGTCCAAGGCACTCACTTGGTATGACAGTGGTCTCCCCTGGAGGCGCGGTGATGGTGACGGGGATGTTCACAGTGGTGGTTTTGTCCAGTGGTGGCTGAGTCATCCGTGTCACATTCTTCTCGTTGTCAGCATCTTCTGGCTGCTCAGGCACTTTCTGCAGGTAGGTGCTGGGCAGGGTATGAACTGGGACGACGCTCACGCTACCCCCAGCCTCTATCTCACACTGAGTTTCCCTGAGATAGAACAGCAGAGATTATAAACCTCTTTAAGACCAAAGCAGGGAGAAAACCCATGCCCTGCAGCCAGACCACCACAGGATATGCCTGTCAGATCTTCTCAGCTAAGCCAGGTCAGTCTCTACATGGAAGATCTCTGGGGAAAACTCATACGTCAGTGATTCAGTAAAGCTACGTCCACATTGCAGCCTAGAGGTGTGATTCCCCTGTTCACGTACACATACTCAAGCGAACACAGGTATCAATAGCAGTATAGCTGCAGCAGCATGGGTACTGAGCTGTGCCGAATACAAACCCACCTAAAACGAGTGGGTACGTACTCATACTAGCACCGGCTCAATGAGAGCTGCTGCAGGGAATCACACACCGAGCTCCGAGTGCAGACGGAGCCGTAGTGACTCTTTCTCCTCTGAGTCCGACTGAACCAGCATCCAAGCATGAGGTTGTTATGATGATGTATTATTGTATTACCTCGGCGCCTGCTAGTCAGAGACATGGACCAGGGCCCCATTGTGCTAGCTGCTGTACAAATGATGTTCGGAGGCTTTGGGTGTCTGGCGGTGCCGTTTGTGTTAATGAGACATAAAACTGAAGTCCCAGCTATGCGCAGTAAGGATCCAACCGGGCACTTTTGCAACAGTAAGGAAATTAGCCTCTCTGTATTGGCCGGATTGCGAATGAGGACATTCCATTCCATCTCCCTGCAGTTTCATTTCAATCTGGTGCTCTTCACTTCCTGACCTAAGCTGTTGTGGAAAGTTGCACTTTGCTGTTAACTAGCTGCTGAATTCCACTTTAGAAGTGGCTACACGTCAGCAATGAGCAAAGCGTGTATGGCTGATCTATAACATTTGTAAAGTGCTTTGGGATCCAGTTGGAAGGTGCACTATATAGAGATCATCATGTCAATTCCACTCTGTTACCAGGACTTCACAGGTGAACTATGCCCACTCCAATGATTCCCAACTTAATTTGTTTCCATTTAGATTAGCAGCGCAATAAAGGCAATTTTGTACTCTGTCCTCATTTCTTTATTAAATATTCTAAATGATTCATGGTGATTAAGTTTTCTATTAATTCTAATAAGAATGAAACATAACAGAATAGAATGGTTTGTGTACTCTCCTGCAGCCCTTAGATAACAGCAATGCACTGAATGCGGTTGCCATTATGTGCACACGTATCGTCTTGGACATAATGGACTCATCCTTTTCCCCGCTGAGGACTATGGGAGGTTTATAATGGACTTCAGTGGAAGTAAGACTGGGCTGTCGAAGCTATTTTTAATGAGAGAAAATTAGCCAGGGCACTTAAGTTTTCCAGCACTTTAACTGCTGGCTGAATAATGACCAGAAAGGGACTGGGGTTTAATGTGTCACTTCTAACACAGCAGCCCTGCCTTAGTAAGGCGCTGCGAAAGCAGCAGCAAATAGGAGCCCAGTTGCTAGTGCGAGACGTGAACGTACAACCTTCTAGCCCATACATGGAGTGCATCCCACGGAGTCACGCGGATTGATTAGTTAAGTGCTGTAAATGGCTCTCGGGTGTATTCTCAGATTTCAGGCACTGTTCAAAAATCTTTAACCTGTCACAGAAATTGAGCCTCAAGGGGACTCTGGGCACCCAAAATCTATATTTGCCTCATGATACGGTTACAATCAAATACATACACTCGGGGCAAGAAGTGACTTCAAGCCTTAGCCAGTCTATGGAGTTTCCACCTTTTCCCCATAAGTGTCGCCTTACGTTGTTAAGTAGTACAACAAAAGAGACATTTTGGCTCAGGATGGTTCCTGGATTACTCCCAAATGAATCAAACACAGGAAGAAAGAATAGCCTAAAGAGATCATTAACAGTGAAACTGTAGCTACCGCATCTGTGCAGAAATCAATCCCTGCAGAGATTTCGACTGCACAAGCTCACCAAGATTGGGCTCCAAGAGCTCTAAAGGGCTGGAGCATGTTTATGTGAGATGCTGTAATAGCTTGAGAGAGGTGTGAGTGGCCAGTTGATCGATTACATATGTTCTTAAAAGCCCCGAAGTGCTTATTAGTGGAATCCCCATTTTAAGGTGCCTGTGAACACCTACTGAGGAATCAGCGTGTGATGGAATCAGGGTAGTAAGTGGCTATTGTGCTTAGCCTAAGACACTCTGAGACATATTCAGCTTCAAATTAAATTCATTTACAAACTACAACAGAAATTCACATGCACAAAACTGTCAAGGATCTGACAACAGCGTAAATACCCTGGCACATGAAGGCTGTCTGGATACTGCAGACACAGAAGGCAAGATTTTGATCATCCATACACTGGTATACATCTGAAGTTTTCACAGAAAGGACTTCATGGGGATTACTCTGGATTTGTAGCACACTGAAACTGAGACCAGGGGGCCAGATTCTCCTACTCTCATCTGCAGCTGTGCAGTGGGAGGGGAGGAAACAGTCTTTCAGAAGGGCCAGACAAAATTTCAGTCCCTCTCTGCTACCCTGGGGGTGCACGGTGACCAAGAAAAGATTGGGAAATAGACCCCTCCACTATGTACAGTCCCCAATGCACACTGGGGAACTCCAGGAGACACCCCCACCTTACTACAGGCACAAAATAGCTCAGAATATGGCCCACTGAATATGCACGCCCTCCTGTGCTGTGGCTGGCTGCCTGGAAACCAAGCAGCGTTCTATGGGTTAAGTGTAACAACGTTCCATCCTGCAAGGGACATGTTCCATTTTCATCATTCCCTAAAAAGGGATTTCTCCCCACTGCTCCCCACTCACCATTGAAGAGCAATCATTTTGCAATGCCATAATGAAGCATCTCACCTTCTGATGTCAAAGTGCTCTACAAGCATTCACTAACGTAACCTCCTAACTCCCGCTGCGGTAGGTCAGTGTTACAATACTCATTGTACAGATGAGAAAATAAACGATCCCTCCTATTCTCAGCCGATTGTGGCACACGATAGTTTAGCCTTCTGAGGGCTGCAATGCTTTGGTCTACTGTTGGTTGCTGGATTTAGTGTGTGGGTTCTGGGTGGCCTGTGGCGGGCAGGAGGTCAGACTAGATCAGAGGTTCTCAAACTGGGGGGCGGGCTCCCCTGGGGGGTGCGGAATGTGTTCTGGAGGGGTGTGAGAAGCTTTAGGAAAAAAATGTACTCTGCACGTTTTACTCACAGCAATGACTAACGAGCAAAGCGGATTCCTCCAGACATAGCGGGTCCTCAGGTGGCGCTGTGCATTTGACTCTAGAGGCGCTGTGCATTTCGATGGATTTCTGTGACGCTTGCCCAGCATTCTACAAAGCTGTTGCCATCTGTACGTTAATCCGTTTGCTACGAGGCGGTGCGCACGCATGCACCACACTCACAGGTTTGCTTTTGCTCTTATTACACTGGATCGTTGGCTCTGTTCAAATCAAGGCCTTACTGTTCTTAATATTTAGGGAGAGTCACATGTTGATTTGTTTTTACTGGTATATGTACTTGTATGGCGGGGAGCGGGGCACAAACGACTACAGACACAAAGAAGGGGGACGCAATCAAATACGTTTGAGAACCACGGGACTAGATGATCTGGTGGTCCCGTCTGGCCTTAAACTCCACGATTCTGTGAAAGTACGGGACGTGCAATTATGCACTAAGCCTCTTGGGGGCGTAGCACACAGATACACAGCCCGCAGGGTAGGAGGCTATCATGGCCAGACCAGATGTCTTTTTAAAAAATAGGCTCCCGCTCAACCACAAGTCACGCACTTCACTGCAGGAATTACTGGGTGAAATTCGATGGCCTGTGATATGCAGGAGGCCTAGCTGGCTAGTTCCTTCTGGCCTTAAAACCTACAACTCTATTTGCACCCTTCTGATCCTCGGCTGTTTGGGGAGTCTGGGTGACCCCAACAGGACGTAGGCAGCCCTAGGGGTTACCAATTTAAGCAAAGGAGAAACAGAACACTTTTATTCCAAAATCAGACCGCCCACACACAGACTTGCACCAATATAACATCAAGTATGAATTAAAAACCATTTTGTTATTGTGATGCCAGTTAGTGCACAGAGCAGCCCTGGGACAGAATGGGTTACCAGGCTTAAGGCCTAATTCTCCACCACCTTGCAACAGCTGCAGCCTTTTACAACTCTGCAAAGTGCATGCCAATCAGAACAGCTTTGTTGAACACTTTGCACAGGTGTAAAAGACTGCGTAAGGCACAGAAGAATCAGACCCTCCCAGAGAACTTTGCACTGCAATCAGGAGGTGTATGTCTACCCACCTCCTAACTGCAGTGTAGACACACCCTGGGTCTGAGGAGCAAAGAGGCACTGATGTCATAAACCTTAACATGGCAAACATACGGGCTGGTTCCCTTCTCACGGACACAGACGCAAGTCATGAGTAACTCCACTGAATTCAATGGCGCTACAGCCCATTGGCGTGCCACTGAACCGAGAGCAGAAACAGGCCCACAGCGTTTGCATGCATGTAATATCACTTGTAAACAGATTCACCTCCAATGATGCCAATTAGCTCTACAACCTTTAAAATACAGCCTAGCTGTGCCCAGAGTGGAGGGGAGCTTATGGCAATGCAGCGACAGTTGCGTTGTGTAGATGTTAGCAAACATATCTCCATTGAGAAGGGCAAAACCCTAGTACCGAGACACTTTTTACATGCTCCGAAGCTGCGGTGCCATTTGGGGCTTATTTTGCCCCATGCAGACCATGTGACATTTTAGAATGATGTATTCAACCCTAAATATTAATACAAGGGCAGCCAAGGCAACTAGACACCCCAACAGGCCCCCAGACTACGCCTTACAACACTGTCATTACAATGCTGTAGGCCATCAGAGAGACAGAGTGGATGTATACACATTACTAAGGAACAGCTTGGCATTTTCACAGGCTGGGTCCGTGAGATGCACAGGGCATGGACACCTGTGCTGGTTTCTGACAATGACTTTCACTCAACAGTCAGCTTTCTGCTCCACCCCAGACATTTCACCATGAGGAAAGGTGGGAAATCAGTTGGGAAGAGGTGACAAAATTGCTTAGATTGCAAGGCCTTTGGGGCAGGGGCCATCTTTTTGTCCGTGTTTGTACAGCACCTAGCACCTGGGGGTCCTGCTCCATGACTAGGGCGCCTACATGCTGCAGTCACACAAATGATAAATAAGAACAGTAACAATACTCTGCTAAGTAAATACTACAGTATGATACAATCGTAGACCAACACACTGTTAAAAGCAACGGGGCTCAATTCATTCTGCTGGCGCAACCATGAACACGTGTGCCATGCTGGGAAGCATGCCAGGAGCAGGGGCCCAATCGGGCAACTCTTCATCAACCCTCACTCTGCCAGAGGCCCTAGACAGGGAAAGGCTTAGGCCAGGCCAAAGACATCCTAGCTCAACACCACTTCAAGGCAGCATTGACCAGAGGAGCTCTGACCAAATTGTAAAGTTGTCCTTTAGGGGGAACAGCCCCTCTTGGCATGGGGAGGGGTGGCTCTGTCCTCTTGCCCCTGTGGGGGTTCGGAGCCCACAGTGCTATTGAGAATGACTGGCGAATACTGCTGTGAGTCCCCCACTGCTGACATACTGAGAAGATCTGTGTGTGCAGCGCTGACTTACCTGGGCTGATGGTTCTTAAGATCTTTCTCCCCAGCCTCTCCTTCCTTCTCCCCATTCTCCTTCTCCACCGACTCATACGTCGACAGAGCTCTGTGCCGGATCTTGTATCGTCTGTGGGGCTCTTCCCCATTCTCTCCTTTCAAGCCGGGATCGCCTTCCCGGTTCCCTGACCTCGACCCTCCTCGGTGACGTGAACGCCGCTCGCTTCTGGCACCGTTGGCTGTCCCATTGCCTTCCTTTGCTTGCCTCTCCGCTGAGTGTCGGTGAGGCCGGTGCCGCCGGTACTCCTTCTCAGCCCCTTCTTCCACGGAGCCTCGACGATGATGCCTTTTACCCCCTTCCTGGCTTCTGTTGCGCTCACTTTTTCCTTCCTTGCTGCCCCCCTCTGCCTCTTTGCTGCGGCTCCTGTGCTGCCTGTGCCGTTCCTCCTTATTGTTCGTGCCAGACTCCCCGTTCTCATCCTTGGCCACGTCGCTCTTCTCCTGCTCTCCCATCTTGTCTTTATCCCGATGCCGGTGGTGCTTCCGTGGCACTTCTGCATTGTCGGCAGAGGTGGCCTTGGCCTGATCAGTCTCCTGAACGTCCACCGGGCTTAGCTTACCGACGTTGTTCCGCCCTTCGGTCCTCGGCTCTACCACCAGAGGCCGATCCAAATGGGTCTTCATGTCTGGCCGGATGTGGAGGGTGGTAGCATAGCGCACCCGCTCCTCCGGATCGAGCTCATTGTACAGCGCCTCGCAGCTGGCCCGGAAATTGTGCATCCGGATCTGGCTGGTCCTCTGTTCCCAAACGGACTTGGATTTGGAGGAGTTCTGCTGTTTGCTGCAGAACAGAGGAGAAAAATAATAAGGAGATAGTCAGCATCAGGTCTGGCTCCACTTCTCCAAAAGAAATTTTAAACGAAAATGTAAATTTCTAGCCGAGACAGGGAATTGTAGGGTTGAGCCAAAGAAAACATAGGGATGAAGATAGAATGACTAGCGGAAAACACATGAGCAGATAAAGCTAGTGGGGTCACCAGAGTGCTAGTGACATCCCCACACACAACTGGTACTATAAGAAAGGGCTATTTTGAGTTCTAAAACATGGCCATCCCATGGTCTAGGGGCGTGTACAATTGGCACAATTAAAGCCACTTCTCCTGAAAACCGTTGTAACTCTCCAAATCCCGCCAAATCATCCACTGACCCCTTCCCTAACCAACAGTTAGGGACAAGCCTGGGAGAACGACTGAACCTCATAGTGCAGGGATCGGCAACCTTTCAGAAGTGGTGTGCCGAGTCTACATTTATTCACTCTAATTTAAGGTTTCGCGTGCCAGTCATACATTTTAACGGTTTTAGAAGGTCTCTTTCGATAAGTCTATAATATATAACTAAAGTATTTTGTATGTAGAGTAAATCAGGTTTTTAAAATGTTTAAGAAGCTTCATTTAAAATTAAATTAAAATGCAGAGCCCCCCCGGACCGGTGGCCAGGACCCGGGCAGTGTGAGTGCCACTGAAAATCAGCTCGTGTGCCGCCTTCGGCACGCGTGCCATAGGTTGCCTACCCCTGTCATAGTGCAACCTGAAGCTCAACAGATTTTGGGTGGTGGGGAACAGAGGCAGGAAGTGGAACCCACAGTCAAGGAGCCCTCACCCAGAATGCCCTGACCCCAGCCCCCTCACATTTCAACAAAAAAGGTGGTCATTTGAGCAACCCTAGACAATCTGAACTGTCCCATTAGCACTTGGGGGGAGAGGCAGCCTCTGATATATCCGAAATTCAAGGCACACGCCAGTTATTACCAAAGTGGCATTGATCTCAGCTGCTACGGGAACAAGTCTGGCAAAGGTGCACGTGAGACACATACAGCTAGTCTGCACCCCGTCACAAGAGGATCTGGAGGGTGATACAACACAGATGGGATGAGGACTTCTTTATAACCACATAACAGCAGCAACCGCAGCCTTGCCAATAAGGACATGCCGATAAGTACTCTGCCTAACCAATGAGGCAAGGAGACGATGTACTCCTGTTGGCCTCTTTTATTTAAACCGGAAATTCTAAAGATTTGGGATCCAATTCTGCTCTCATTTGCACCAGTGTAAAACCAGAGTAAGCCCACTGGATTCAAGGGAGTTATTCTGGATTTTACACTGACTTAAATGAGAACAGAACTGGCCCTTGGTTCCTTCACAAAAATCCCCTTGCCGAGAAAGGAAATGCTCTCTTCCCTCTCAGACCCCAATCTGCAGCTCTACGGTGTAATCTCAGTTGGGACTTCCCTAGTCAGTCACTGTAGGAAGATGAACCCCTGCAGTGGGACAGGAGATCTCCGAGGCTGACTGACCGCCTTGGGAGAGGCTGTGGAGATGGGAAACCAGAACTGTTTTCTTGACATTCATTCAGGTCTGCTCCAGTGACAGAACAAACCAGAGTGTGAGTTTATGTGCTCTGACTCAGACTGGCAGTGTCTGTCACCATTCTCAGGCCCTACGGAAAGCAGCGTTCAGACGGAGTTATGTCACGCCACGGGAGATGTCGGAAAAGGTTTGCATCTCAGACATCTGCCATGTTTTACTGAGCGTGGTGTCGGCCAGTTTTACTAAAAGAGGCAAAAACGTATGTAAATATTCACTCGGAGGGGATGAGGACAGTCAGGCAGACGAATCTGATTTGACCACAAAATCAGAACGAACACAGCTGATCGCTCAGTTCAAAGCTGAAGGCTTCTCTTTTCTTGGAAGGAGTTTTCTGTAGGGTGAGCACAATTTAAGCCAGTGACCTACCAGCTTAGTGGATCATTTAAAGTACTGCGTGCTCTCAAAAGGAACTAGAAAGGGAGGCATGGAGAGCCCTCCATCTCTTTCCTGTAACTGACAACCCCGAGTGTCTGCCCAAAGATACCCAACTGGCAGAACCCTGCCTCCTTACATGTGGCTGGCTGACATGGGAATTTGAGAAGCAAGTGTGGGATACTCGGTATGGCTCATACACCTGCATTGCTCTCTCAATTCACAGCTATATAACTGCAGCCTCTACAAAAGTTGTTGCATCCTGGGGCAATTCTCACCTGAGGGGCTGGCAATTTTAAAATCAGGACACGCCACCTTCAGGCCCTGCCAGCAGAAGCTTCCCGGGAAAGAGACAGCACCAGAGCATCTCCTGACTGTCTTGGGATGGATCCACCAGCGTGGGGGCTGCAAACAATAGTCTGGGGTCCCCAGGACAGCGGGGATGGCTTTAGGGTGACCAAATGTTCCCATTTTATAGGGACAGTCCTGATTTTTGGGTCTTTTTCTTATATAGGCTCCTATTACCCCCCACCACCTGTCCCGATTTTTCACACTTGCTATCTGGTCACTCTAGATGGCTTGTTCTGCTGTGTGCTTGGTCTAGAGATCCTAGAGTTTTGCGGAAGCCCACAAACAGGGTCATGCTAGGGAGCAAATCTGTCCTGTGACGCTCAAGCTCAGGGAAAACGGCAAGAAAGCTTGAGCATGATTCGGTGCGTTTCTATGCACTGAGTGTCATTTACGGTGTGCAGGCAACACGACGTTGCTGAGCTGACACTGTTCATTCGATTTTAAAGCCCTTGGGGCAAGGATGATTTTTTCTTCAGCGTCTTGTACAGCACAGAGCATGCTGTCAGCACTAAAATAACACATCGTAATAATGTGTTAATTGAGGGCTGGGTGACAGCCCTAACGCTGATTGATGTGCTCTATCTATCCACAGATCAGAAATAGCTCGGGCAGCAGCACCGTGCCCTCCCACACACACCGCCCTTCCAGCGCGCTGCCATCCTGACTCGGCGGGACCATCTCCAGAGGGGAGTTCTGTCTTTGAGACCCTCGCAGCCCGTGGCCAGTAAAGCGGACAATCAATGCGACTGTGGTTGTTATTTGTGATGTAACCTCTCCAATGGCACTTGGATTGAGACCCCCAAACGTATGCCACACAAATTCCTAAAGCACTCATACCATGGAGAGGGGTGCCAGCTAAAAACCTAGACAGACTGAGAGTCATCATCAAGTAGAGACTTCTGATTCCTACCAACCTAGGCTGGATTTGAATCGGTGAATGGCTGTGCCATTGAGTAGTATGACTTCCTGCCCGTGTGGCTTATGAAACTTTGAGAACATGCATACGGCCCTCTGAGATCTCAGAGGCTTTCTTTATGGCTCCTACCCAGTTAGAGCCCCTATATGGTGGTGTTTGCAGCAGGTTTAGAGATCTTCCCCTTGTGTAAGTTTCAGGTCAGTGACCTCCTAGTGCAGGAAGCAGTTGCTCTGGAAATGGCAACGTGATTTGTTTTTTAGCTGTTTTTCACATGTATTAAGAACACAAAACAGTCATTTAAAAAAATGCAATCATCTCAGAGTTGCAAGGTGTTCCATTGTGTTTGGACTATGGACAACTGAGAGCTGAAGCTGCTGCTAAGAACACACACCATTGGGAACCTGTAGGAGCATAGTAATTTGCATATTAATGAAGTCTATTTTGCAAAATTTGCTTCCTTAACAGGGACAGCAAAATTACAGACTCACCAAACTTTTCAGAATCTATAAATACTGAGGTCACATCATTGACACTGACAGTTAGCAAAGGGTGACACCCACACAAAAAATGCATTGCCAGCCACTAGCTTTTGTTACTAACAAGCCAAAGAGCAAGAGAATTAGTTAGCAGTGAGGTTTGGAAGTAATGATTACATTTATTTTATGGAACGAAATGGAAAAAAAATTAAGATAAGCATAGACACTCTCTGCAAAGTTTGAAGCATGCCCTCCGTTAATCATCACACCCAAACTAGTCAAGAACATCAGGAGCAAGTGCATGTGCATATTTGGGTCCTGGCTGGGAAATGGGAATAAAGAAATAGGATAGTTTGGTCCCTCCAGGAACAGTATTTAGAGCTTTTCAGAGCAAAAGCTCAAGCAGTTGGGGGAATTATGTACTCTGCTTGTCCAGTTAAATGTATCTGATTCTTGCTTTCCACATGTTCTCCCAGTAACTGAAATACAGACACATTTGAGTGCCGCTTCTCTGATGTTGTATTTCTTCGGAGAGGAAGGCTTTTGAACTTATTCACCAGACTTATTTATGGCACAATAGCAGTCACCTTAAGACAAAACATAGTATCATTAAACCACCACATGAGGATACAGTTCATGTGTGTTGCACACAAAGAATCGCAGAAGAGATGGGAAAAATCTAGCTAATGTACAATTATTCCCTATAACACATTCTCTGGTGCTTTGTCTAGTTCAGTTTTAAATAACTCAAGTGATGGGGCTACCACAAAATCCCCTTCGGATACTAAATATAGCATTAGCAGCAGATATTTCTATGTCGGGTGTGAACTAAGCAAAATGGTTCTTTACAATAATAGGTGCAACCATGAACTCTGTGATCACATCTTTTGTTGGTACTGTTGATCTAGTGCTTTAAATCAATAGCTCTCCACATTATTCCTTCTGCCGACAGGGCCGGCTCCAGGGTTTTGGCCGCCCCAAGCAGCCAAATAAAACAAAACAAAAAAAGCCACGATGGCGATCGCGATCTGCGGCGGCAATTCGGCGGGAGGTCCTTCGCTCCGAGCAGGAGTGAGGGACCGTCCGCCGAATTGCCGCCGAACAGCTGGACGTGCCGCCCGTCTCCGAAGTGGCCACCCCAAGCACCTGCTTGGTAAGCTGGTGCCTGGAGCCGGCCCTGTCTGCAGACCTCCTCATAAGAGGAAAAAAATCGACTCATGAATCCACCTCTCTTCCCCAAACCCCAATGTCCACTGCCTTTATTCAGTTCCCTACCAACAAAGCTCTTCCCATTCTTTAT